GCAAATCTATTCTATAGTTTTATTAGAATTACCTTAAGAAGATCATGAACTCAACTTCAAGACTTATATATGTTGATGGTCTTCTCTTGTATTCATTTGAGTCAGATGAACTCGTCAAATAAATGTTTTCTGATGAGATTTATTAGAACAAGTACAAATTTATTGCTACAACAACAAGATAATTTTGATAAACAGTCGAAGCAAATTCAGTCATTTCATTTACAAAGTCATGTTTTAAAGTTTTTGAAAATAACTAAAATTTATTTAAATTTTAGAGCACATAGTAAGGTATTTCAAGAAAGATCAACTGTCATACAAATAGTTGCGTATCAATTCTGTTAAATTGATTCTTTGCTTAATTTATATGATTCGTAAATTGCTAATAGTGATTCCAATTGTCTGTGAAAATGTAAAATCTAGTTACTTTTTGATCAATAATATGGCAAAACAATCAAACTTAACTAATATCTAGACCGAATCTTTTATACAGCAAAATGTACAGAAAAAACAAAAGTTTGGATGAATTTTTAGTATGTTCAGTGTTTTGCTTAAAAATTCGTCACAATGAATAAGCTGTAAGATAACGTTGTATGATCGTTGAGTTTTATTTGATATTGTTAACTTTGAGGAAAAAAAACGGCAGAAATATGACGCATGTAGAATCCTAAAGCTTCACAGTTGTTAATTCGTAAGTACACAACATTTTTATTTCAGGTTATTCTTTATCATGTTAGACATAATGCACATTATTTCGGATAAGAACATTATCGAGACTTTTATGGATGAAAAATTAAGTTACGAAAGAATATAAGAAAATAGTTCTATTCGAGTTGTGGTATCTTATCCTTTTTCCTTATTCTTTGATCTTCAAAGATGTCAAAATCAATTCTAAACAAGTACAACTATGCTATATTTGTAACAATTATATGCGTTCTCTTTTTATGCGTACATTTATTGTAAAACTGAACTATTTCGTATCGAATACTATTGTGATTGCTGTAAGTAGTCCATAGGCAAATAATTAATCTTAATCATAGACGCAACAGTGAGAGAGTGAAAAGAAAAACGGAAAACTAAAACGTATTTAGTCATTTAATTTTTGTGTCTAAAAGCGAATACAACCTAATTGTTCAAAATACATATCTTGTTCGAGTTTTGAGCCGTTGTACATTTCTAATCAAATAATTGTTTAACAGAAACATGTCAGTATTTTCTATCATGCTAGTTTTCGTTGGTTTCTGCCATTCTTATGCTAACGATTCAGAATCTTTTAGGGTCTCTGTTCATAAAATTGTAAGTTTTTTACTTCGAAAACTTCATTAAACTGCACAAATCCATAAGTTTCATCTTATCTATTCATTTATCATGATAAAAAATAAATAAATTTCGAGAATAGGCTTAGCTTATTTCAAAAAACAAATCTAATAACCGTAATTGATTTCGCAACTTCTTTTTGTTCAATATGCGTTGCTTCAGCTGTCAATTGTCTATCAATAGTAAAATGTGATTGAAATTGACTAACTTGTGTACCAGGCGGTAATGTGGTTAATTTGTTTGGTCATCATCTTTATGTCGATATGGACGACGAAGAATTGAGCTCGGAAAAATTTGGAAAATGAGCTCGGAGTGCTTAATTAGTAAAGAAAATGAGGAAAATGAGCTCGTTTTTTTCCGAGCGCAAAATAAGAGGAATTGATCTCAGAAAAGAGCTCATTAGCGCTGAAGCAATGAAATTAGAGGAAAAGAGCTCGGTTCGATACGATGAAGAGAAAAGCAAAATACAATGTCCTAGCTTATGTGTATACGAATAAACAGCATCTTGTGTGGCAAACAGAAATATTACTAATGTTAAATTTATTATTTACTAATATATAATAAAAAACTTAAGACAAAGGTGCTCAACAAATCAGTCCTTCGACAGGGCATGTTTAGCTTTTTTTCTTCGCCCTTTCACATTTCTTTTTCCAATTAACTGTGGGATTGTCCGAACTCCCCAAATCATCATAAGACCTGTTGTATGGATGCACGAATATTGTTTGAGACCCTTCTATATTGTGAACATCTGAATGTAGTCGATTCATAATTTTTAAAATTTTCTTTACGATAAATGGAAACATTGTGACATTTTGCTAAAGATTTTAAATCATTTTCAGTTAAAATACTTTCGTTAATCTCTTTCCATACTCGTCTCATTCTTCCACGATTTGATACATTTTTAAATATTTCAGACAAGATTTAGGTATACAATGGAATAGAGAATGAAAAGAAGCTTTTGTAAACAATGCTTCTCCACCGTTCTTTCGTAAACATACATCGTATCGTCGAATGACTCATTTTTCTATGCGGGTCATCCATTGCATTCATCATATACGCTTGTCTATATCATCACATGTGCACATATGTAGAAAAAACCGAGCTCTTTTCCTCTAATTTCATTGCTTCAGCGCTAATGAGCTTTTTTCTGAGATCAATTCCTCTTATTTTGAGCTCGGAAAAAAACGAGCTCATTTTCCTCATTTTTCTTACTAATTAAGGATTCCGAGCTCTTTTCCATTTTCTCCTGTCGATATTCACTTTGTACAATTAGAGTGTGAGTGTAGGTGTTAATGTTTCATACGTACACCCACACCGTCTAAAACATTTGATGAATCTCAATAGTTATTGAAGTTTAATGGAGATTTTGTCAAGCTCTGACTCCATTAAGAAGAGACTGATTGGTAGAGCATCGTCTCCTGTGGTTTTATTCTTCTTTCTTTGGATAGTTTGTTTTTTCTCTAGAGTATGTGTGATGAGAGAGAATTATGACTGACGAGGGAAGATCCCCAACTGTCCCCTCGCTTTTGAATCGGGTACATGCCCAAACGATAGACCTCAGTGACTTATTAAACACCCTACAAAGGTTCAGTTGTCTAGGCCTCCTGAGCAAAGATATACAATTATTATACTGTTACTAGTTTTGTTGTACTGCTGTACTAATATATATGATATCTTGACTAAAAATACTCTGATTTGGTTCAAATTTATATCAGTAGTATGGTACTTAGTACTGATTAAGATTCTAGAGTTTGAAGATATATACGAATGACGTAATAAAGTAAAACAATACATTGAATTTTTGGTGGTGGAATGTTCGTTTAATATATCGATATCTTTGTGAAAATTAATTTTATCATATCAGCACCAGTTCTATAGCGAAAAGTATGCGAATTCACTCTTCTGATTCTTATTAGCTAAAGCATCGAAAAAGGAGATGATATTTTCACATGCATGCTAACTATAAAATGCATGTGTGTTGGAAATATCAGATGAATGAATACTTGTATCTTTGAGGAAGACCACATATTGTTTTTTTTAATAATTAATTGGTATATCAAACAAATTCGTATCTTCAATAAGAAGCATCGATTTATCTTCAAACTCTAGGATCTTAATCAGTACTAAGTACCATACTACTGATATAAATTTGAACCAGATCAGAGTATTTTTAGTCAAGATATCATATATATTAGTACAGTAGTACAGCAAAACTAGTAACAGTAAAAATTGTATATCTCTGCTCAGGAGGCCTATAGACAACCGAACCCTTGTAGGTTGTTTAATAACTCACTGAGGTCTATCGTTTGGGCATGTACCCGATTCAAAAGCGAGGAGACAGTTGGGGACCTTCCCTCGTGAGTTTGACTGTTTTGTTTGTTTTTAGTCGTTTCTTTTTTCTCTCAATATTGGTGTGGTTGTGTTAACTCTTTTGTTGACTTAGTTTTTTCTTATCTCTTTTTGCTGGGCATTCGTTGAAGTCTCACGTGTCTTGTTCCTTTTTAGTGTCGACAAAAATGATGTGAGAAGAAAATATTCATGACAGAGGAGTGTTTGTACGTCTTCTGGTATAGCATCTTTTCCCAGTTGGGTTTTATTCAGTATAGTTGTATGTTTTCATTTCTATTGGCTTTTTTGTCGGAGAAATGAAAAAGAATCATATAAAAAGTCAATCATCAAAGCAAAGCGCTTTCATTTTTCAGATTGATTTCTTTTGTTAAGGTAACCAATCATTATTGATAATTCTTTGTTTTTGTATTTCTTGTCAGTTTTTTCTCTTTTATTTTGTCCCGACCGTTGCTTTTTTAAAAGGAAGGTACGAACGTCGTTGAGACGTTGAAAGCCAATCATAAAAATCAAAAGATATATTGAAAAAGAACCGTTATTTTTAAGTTTTTTCTTTCCTTTTCATGAAGAAAAATGTAGATGAGATGCAAATTATTGATTTATTCATGTGATTATTTTCTTTGCTCTCTGTCACTGACATTGACATTGATTTGAATCAGTCACAAATAAATACATCGATCAGAGAGAATCATTTCGGCGAAAGAGTTCTTTAAGGAGATTTTTCTTAGATGTCAATTAATTGATAAGTGTCATGAAGTTTAGATTGTACCGTTATTGATAATATTTCGAAGGATACTATTCGAATTTGTCGACATCTAGTTAATCCAGATAGTCAACGAGTGGAAATGACACATTTCAGTGTCCGAGAATCAACTGATTTTCACAATTTTCATGGTGTTTAATAAACAGCGATGTGAGATGTGAGATTAACATCCACTATGATTCTTATTGTTCATTGTATTTCTAATTTATCCTCTCATATGTAGAGAAATTTTTGTCGTAGTTTTTGTTTTCATCTATCACTTATTAATGCGAGCGAGTAAAGAATTGATCTCACTTCTAGCTATAACCAATAAGTATTTTGATATTACGTTGAGAAGATTTATCTACTCTTAGAGATCAACAATGAAGAGTTAATTTTATTCTTCCTATGAGATGTGAGAAAAGTATCCATGATAGACATAGATGATCAGATCTTTTTTGTTCGTTTCATATGAAATTTTTCTTGAAGATTCTCATCATTCGAGTCTTTCTTTTTCGATGAATACAAAACCTACAATTACTTATGAATAAGACGCAATATGTTTTCTTGATTTTCTTTTGAAGTTCTATTCGATTCAATGTCATCCAATAAACACAATGATAATAATGGTGATAATGACACACAAACAGTAGATGATCGTGCAAACTCAGCCGATGGCGATGATTCTATAAATTCACTAACACATGATGTTGGCAATCTACGTCTTAGATTGACATCAAGTTCTCTTGACAATTTACGTTCTTCTCAAAAAGCTCCTTGTCGAAATGGGTTAAAGTGCTTCAATTCATTTTGTCAATATAATCACCCATCTGGATGGAAGGCATGCGAATGTGGTGCTAAGTGTAGAGAATTTGATTGCCAGGCAAATCATCCGTTTGATCGACAAAAACGCTGTAGAAACGGTGCTGCTTGTAGGAGATGCGGATGCGAGTTTTTACATCCAGTAAAATTGTCAGACAAATGTCGAGATGGAGTTGAATGTCGACTTTGGAATTGTGAAAAGTGGCATCCTAGAGATCGTCCAAAAATTTGTCCTTTCGGTAAGCAATGTTACAACACAACTTGTCAACATGTTCATCCATCTGATAGACAATTGTGTCCACACGGTGGAGAATGTACAGAAATTAATTGTCAATTAGATCATCCTAAGAGTCGTGCAATTGCTTGTCCACAAGCAAGTTCTTGTGATAATTATTTTTGTCAACGTTTGCATCCTGATGATTGGAATCCATGTAAAATAGGCAGCGATTGTGAAAACTCAATATGTTCACACACTTGCCATCCATTGAATGGAATTTTAAGTGAACAACAAATACAAAGCGACGTCGAACACCAATCAAAATCATGCTCAATATTAAAATCCGTCCAACAACGTAACATCGAACGAGAAAAGACAAAATTGCCTATTCTCGCTGCCAAAGACGAGTTTTGTCAACGATTGGAAAAAGAACGAGTACTTGTTATCACAGCAGAAACAGGCAGTGGTAAAAGTACTCAACTACCTCAATACGCTGCTGAATACTTTGGTGGTTTGGTTGTTTGCACTCAGCCAAGGGTAATCACAGCAATGTCTCTTGCACGTCGTGTAGCTGAAGAATACGATGGAATCTCAGTAGGAAAATCAGTTGGGTATCGAGTTGGTCAATCCAGTGTTGGAAGAGAGAGAAATCGAGTTCCTGGAACAGATATTCTCTTTATGACTGATGCTATTTTTATTCAAGAAAGCCAAGACGATGATCAATTGGGCAACGTTCGAGTGTTGATCATCGATGAAGCACATGAAAGATCTTTAAATACCGATATTGTTTTGGGAATTGCGAAACTGTTACTAATTACACGATCAACAGATTTCTATGTCGTCATTGCTTCAGCGACTATTGATCCGGCAAAGTTTCTCAAGTTTTTTCAGCGAACAAATTTCGTCTCATTGACAGTTCCAGGTCGTATTTATGATGTATCTGTCGAATATAATCCCTTTACGGATAAATCACTCCTGCAACATGCCGTTTCTACAATACAAAACTTGTATGACAAACATCAAGGACACACATTGGTATTTCTTCCTGGACAACGTGAGATCAAGGATGCTATACAGCTTTTTAATCAAAGAATACCCGATAATTGTGTTGCATTACCGTTGTATAGTGCTCTTTCGCTAGAAGAGCAAGATCGAGTACTTCAATTTGATGAAGATTCCAACGGCGTTCGTCGAATGGTTGTTTTCTGTACGAATATTGCTGAAACATCTTTGACAATAAAAGATACCTGTCTTGTCATTGATTCTGGACTGGTCAAACAACCTCGTTTCGATCATGAAAATCGTCTGACAGTTATTGAAACTGTGCAAATCTCTCGTTCATCTGCTGATCAACGCAAAGGAAGAGCCGGTCGAACAGCACAAGGACATTGTGTTCGCCTCTACGATGAAAATGATTTGACTCGCCCTGATATTGAACCTGAAATTCTTCGAGCCTCACTTGATCGTGCTGTTCTTCAACTAGTTTATTTGGAATTGAATCCGCAGGAATTTCCGTTAATCGATCAACCTGAACAAACAGTTATCGAAACATCATTAGAGCTTTTGAAAGATCTTTCTTGTATTGATGATGACCAAATCATTACCAAGCAAGGAAAGCTTTTCGCCAAACTCGGTCTTGATCCTCGTTATAGTGCATTCTTGATTGATACCTATCTTGAACATGCTGAGATTCTCGAATTGGTAGTTACGATTGTGGCCATTTTATCAGCACCCGGTTCTCTATTTTCGGTGGGTGGTCTCACTGACGAGGAGAAACAATTCGTTCAAAATCGCATTGTCGATGGGGCTAAGAAACATGACAGTGATTTGTTGCATTTTGTTTCAATTTATAAAAACTGGCATATCGCAGGTGCTCTTGATCCGATTAAGCGCACATGTTTGACATGTAGAAAAACTTGGAAAATGGAATATTCATGTCGAGAATGTCGAGCAGCACACAGTAGGAGTGTATTACTGAACAACAAAATTCTGAATATTGTCGAAAATGTTTATCATGACTTGATCGAAACGATTAACGGTTCACGTTGGCAACTCAACCCTGAGTCATTATCGAATGCAAATGAAAGTGATATCATCGGCAGCAATCTCTACAAGTATTTTTCGAATCAATACGGTATTTTCCGCAGAACAAATAAGACAAAGTTAAATGCCCATATGGTTGAAAAAGGATTCGATGCAGGCATAAGCGACACCAGTATTTTCGCTCATCGAGAAACTACTAATCCTCATTTTATAGCAATGTCACTCGTGAAACTGTCTTCTGGTCGTTATTTGGTTGATCGATTGCATCCGTTTCAATCACCTGGTTCGTTTAAAAGCGAGAGAAAAGATAGTAACGTCATCGCTATGGAATCAAAATCTGAAATAGAATAAAACTGCTTTTGTCTCTAAATAAAAAAAATTGTATCCCGACATTTTTCTCTAGTTGTTGTTGAGTGAAAGACAGAAGTTATTCACAAACTAATAGTGTTATTTATGTTAATCATGACTGTTGATCAGATTTAATAAACAATCTAGATAGAATCTATTTCTGTGAATTTACTTGATGATTGTTACTATTTAAGAAAAAATCAGTGGAATGAAATTGATGTCTTTTACTATTGGTTTCATCATCAAACTGATGATTTTTTTAAATTTTTTTAAAAACTCCTGAGCTACAAGTATCTTTTTAACATTAGTATTGGGATTGACTAATACTAATGCTAATGCTTTGGTACTGGGAATCAAGTAAGTCATAACATGTATTTCAGTCCAGTTGCGGATTTCATCAGGTAATTTAGTGAGCAGAAAGTCTTTGAATCAATAACTCATCAACACAGAGTTATTAGACTCATTAGTAATCTACTGTGCACTGTCTTTCGATGAAAAAAAAACGAATCATTCGTCAACAATTATCTGAAAGCTCGACAGCAAAGAACACTCATCAGAGAGTAAGAATTAGGATAAGTTAGAGCCGCCATGATCGCGATTTCAGCTTTGCTGAAGGGCCTCATCAGATGGCTAGTATTTCTGTTACTTCTATTGAATATATGTGTGTGTTTTTCGAAAGAAGCTATCACGATACGGATTTCGATCCGGCTTAGCGGATCTCATCAGATGGCAAAGGTAGTTTCTGCATAATACTTAATCAAACGAAATTGCCAGGTAATAGCTTTCAATGATCTTGTTTAAGCTGGTTAACAGATATTCACAGATGTGAGTTACGAAATAAGCTACTAAGACGCGTTTCGACTCTGATACAGGCCTCTGCAGATAGTTGTTTATTTACAATTCACATTCGATTCAGTTTTTGAATTTCAAAGGATTGAAATTCTCTAAGATTTTAAATACTGAATCATTTATGTAGCCAATGTTCTTTTCACAGTGGTAACCTACGATGGCTTGATCAAAGAAATGTAAAACGCCTGTCGATACTGCTGGCAGCGATGATTCAATATTTCTCAATCGTGTATCAATTTAGGAAGCATAAGAATCCTAATATTAGGATGTTGGTGAGAGTGTACGGTTTAGGGCATGGATATTGTTAAGTTGAAGACATTGGAACATGAACCAACCCATATCGACACTCACACCTTCTTGTTGATTTTAATTTATATTTAAGATTATTTGCAGTTAAAAGATCGTCAACAGAGAGTGGGCCATAAACAATGATCTACTTGATATTTGTACAAAACCACAGCCAATTTTGCACCTATTTGAAGAACGTTTTTGAATAGAAAATTCACTTTTCAATTCTCTATAATGAAAATAATTTCGGTTTGCTTAAACCTTTGAAATCTTTTCTTTTGCTACCCGGAAAAATAAATAATCTCATTATCACAACTCTAAAAAAAAGAAATTTTTTCTCTCTTTGCTTTACTGTAGGTTTTAACTGCCGAATTATTGAAATCTGGATTGTTAAAAAGTTAATTTTGTATAGCTATGAATGAAGTAAAAAATCTTTAGACAATTGAGATAATAACTTTTTATAATGTACTCTTTTCTGATAAACACTATTGACTTCTAACAATCTCGATTTGAATTCATAAGACTACCGTATATGAGATGAATCTGTGCACATCATAAATTGATCTAAATTTATATAAGAGGAAAAAGCATGAATTCCAATTTCGAGATATGCTGTCAAGCAAATAAAGGGAAAGAATTCTTTTAAAAAGTGGTAACAAATAAGTTGAGTGTGAATGGAGAAAAGATTCAAATATTCACACCCCAGCAATACATTGAAGCAGGTCTTCCTAGGCATAGAAAATTATTCTATCTTCTAATTAGTAAATCTAAAACTGCCATAGTATTCCTCTCATACAAAATAGAAAACTAACTTGTAAAAGAGAAAATTTTTTACAAATCTGTTCGAATTTTACTGAAGCGTTATGTCCTTATGAAAAAAAACGAAATAGTTACAAAGATGCTAACGATATACACTACTAAAATCACATTTGATGGAATCATGATATTGCTTTAATGATAAAATTATATTTCCATAGATTTTTCAAGATATTGAATATTATCTTTGCTATTTTTCGCTCTGTTTGTTGAAATGATTTGCTTTCTTAGTTTTTTTTCTGAATGAAACATTTTTATTTGTTTTCTTTTCTTTTGAACAGAACATTTGTTGATATCTTAGAATCATTCAGTAGACAGTGAAGCATATTGTCGATGTAGAGAAACAACAGCTCTATTGCAGCCTCCTGTCTTGTTTTTGGTCGTGTTTTAGTTTTTGGATAATTCTCGAAGAACATATGATCGATAAAACCGAACTTTTTTTCATAGATTGATCACCTAAAATAAGGAGATACAGGTACCAGGAAATATATTTTTCTAAGATTTTTTTATGCTTTACTTTTTGGTTTTTTTCGAAAAAACCTTTTTTTCATTGACCTATATCTTTCTAGATTACGATTATATTTTAAATTCAGTTGATGGATTGAAAATTATTTTTGAAATATAACTTAAAATAGATTTCAAAAGTAACGTTGAACTTCTTCAGCTATATCGATTTCTGTTATTTTTACAAACAAAGTATGAACAATAATCCAAAGCCTAAAAATTTGAATTAAGATTTTAGTTTTTGTAGACTTATAACTCTCGATTAGACTATTAAAAACAAAATCGACTAATTTTACCGTCGAAAAATAGATTCAAGTAACTATAATGAAATTCTAGTTCAATCGGATGACGTTAGAGCGAATTCGTAACATGATTATGCATACAATTCTATGAAAGAGCAGGTTTTTCTCAACAATCAAAACAAAAGAAAATGCTCCTTGAAAACTACTTCGATAATCATTGAAAAATATAAATGGTTAAAAAGGACTTTGGAGAATGAACAATTTAATATTTACCCATCCGAATGAATCACTTGCTGAATTGATGCCTATCCTGTAAGATGCTTGTAGAAAAATTCATTCGATAATGGTGAGCTTGAGCAAATTGAAAATGTTTATTAAATTTTTTCGTAAAACAATAAAATTTTTAAAAACCTTTTCACTTATTTGGTTTGACCATAATCTATCGAAAAATTGTTATGGATAAAAATAAAATGCAAAAAATTGCATTAATTCAGTATGTTGTTCTCAACTCTATTCTTAGTCGATGTGCAATAATATAGCGTAATAACTATATGAAGAATTATTTCTCATTCGTTATACATATTAATGCTAGCCTTAGTGTTTTCCTTTTAGACGGGAAGGACTAGAGAATTAAATTTCCTAATATTAAAAATAAAAATTTTTATGGATGTAGGTGTAAGTGTGGAGTGTAGACGTCGACCTTCTTGTCGTTCGCACCAACATCCCACACACCATACCCACACTCTCGAAAGCTCTACCCCTATACACTTCAACACTCTATTCAGATCGTGTTTCATAAAATGGTGGAACTCCATTGATACTTCATCCAATCTAATCATCCTAGGATCAGCTTCGCTCCTCTTTTCTTACTAATTCTTTTACACTCACTTCAAAGTAAAAACATTTTTTCGTAACAATGATAAAGTAAGAGATATCATAGCGGTTTTCCTAAGCAAGGGGGTCTTGATCAATTATGAAATAACTGACAAAATTCTTATGGCATCAGAATATGCTACGCAATGCAAATGCTTGAATTATAAACGGCAAACCTTCATCAGATTGATTCTAGTCGGTGCTGAAGTTGAGTAGTCTTTCAAATTGTCTATCACGATCTAAGAAGTAGAGTAGAGTATGTTGAGTAATTTTTCTCGAAATACATTTTAATAATTACGGAAAAATCATGTTTCACAAAAATTCACGAAGAGTTCGAGTGTCCGAATAGTACTTTCATTCGACGAACACTCTCAGTTGTTTCGCTCACATGCTTGCAAAATTTTGGGCAGTTAAGCGATTTCGTAGCATAAGCATAATATTCGAGCGCTTGGTTATAGTCTTCCTTCTTTTCATAGATTTTACCGAGCAGATCACATGTGTGATCATACATGGTATCTGTTGGTAATTGAACAATTGCTGGACTAGTAAGAGAGGCATTCAAGTAAGATAAAGCCTCATCATCTTGTCCTAGTTTCATACAAATGTATCCAAGATTTTGTAAGACCATGACGATGCGAATATTTTCGGGCGGCAATGTTTTAAAAGAGTTACGACATGTGCTTTTTTGAAATATTCGAGTGCTTTATGAAAATCACCCAATTCGTCATACATACATCTAACAGCACTGTATTTGAACACGAAATAGGGATGGTTGTCAGGTAGAATTTTTTCTTGAATCATGAGAGATTTACGATTGTAATTATGAGATTCTTCCATATTGTTCAATAACCTATATAAATAAGCGATTTCACCATAGACACAACTAACATTCAAATATTCTTCACCATACAAACTTACTAATATCTTGAGTGCTTTGTTATAATGTTGTAAAGCGTCTTCATATGATCCTTTTTCTCTCAAACAATTTCCGAGTTGTTGATAATTATCAACTAGTTTTTTATGCTGAGGAAAGTTTACTAGATTAAACATCAGAGAACGTTTATAATAATCCATTGATAGATCAATTTGGTTTCTTACGAAAGCAATCTTTCCTAATCTCATCATTGCTGAGGTTTCATTCGGATCGATGCATAACTGCTTTTTAAATAGAAATTCTGCTTGATCGAATTTTTCCATATCCAATAATAGATTCCTCAGTAATACAAAATCACGACCGTCGGTTACAAAAACTGCTTTCTTTACAATGGTTGAATAGATGCCAGAATTCGTGTTCTTTTTCGTTGCACATAGATAAATGCACAATCCATATGTCTTTATGATTGTCAAATACCAATGAGTCAATTTTGAAAACAACTCCAGCCATAATTAAAACTTCGTCCTCGCCACTGAACTCGCTTAAATGAGAGATCT